CTCTTTCCAGCTTGAGGCAAGATTTGTGCGAGAGCATTTAAGAACCATAATACTTCCAAATTATAGCCATGGTTTACCAAAGCATAGGAAAAGACAAGTTAACAGCTAAGCATTTGCAATCAGGCAAAATGTACTATGCTGTATGTTTTCACAGCTTTAAAGTCAGGAATGAACCTCTTCCCTTTTTTGAAATAACTTGTTTTCATCTTTAAATATGGTTACTGTTAAAAACATATAAAGAGTACACTACTTCTCTGGATGCACCCAGTTCATATTTGAATGATATCCATAGGCAGCCCACTATGCTTCCATATCCTGAGAATCCACGTGTTTTCTGCTAGGCTCAAGGTCAGATTTAGGGTCATTGTGAAAAACAAAGTATTGGTATAAAAGCTCTTACTAAGGTAAAAAACTAGAGAACTTCTGAGAAGAGGTGAACTATGTACACAAACAACAGAATAACACATAGGAAATTGAAGAAATTAACACGAAGTTTACTAGGGAATTAAGATTCAAATGTAAACAACTTATCCTGATTGAATTTGAAGAAAAGTAAGGTGGAATAAGTAAAGAATCTAAGATAATTTACTTTAACCTGTAGACTGTCATGGAACTTTTCATAAGTTACAAGAGAGCTCATTAGCACAAGTTATTCACAATTGCTTACCCAAGATTCATGGTACAAAACTGTGAGGAGGTGTATGCCATAATCATAGTTCTGTCTTCTTAATGGACACCTGAAAATTCATAACAAAGTTAGTCTTTTTGAAATCAAGGCACTTCAACATTCTTTTGAACAATATGTTAACCTTACTATAAAAATTTCTGATCTGTAATGCAGGGAATCTTAGGGAAGTGTGTTCGATTCACAGACATTTCTGAATTAGACATAATGAAGAATATAATATAAACACAAGTATTAAGAAGAATGGGCATCTGCAAGTCAGTAGGAATACATACAAAATGGAAGAATTTGCAGATCTTCAGGAAACATTAAAAACTTCTTTGCCCTTTGTGCCAAAGTGAAATCCAACATCCATTAATCTCAACTCCCTTAAATCCCAATTTATGAGTTTTTTCCCCAAGCCCAACGGGAGGAGGATAAGCGGTGAGAACAGCCATGAAATACAGTTTGAAACAGACAATTGTCTAAAAACTAGTCACTGAAATCTTCTGCTTGGAATCTGATGACATTAATTGCTTCCTCATGCTAGTTACCCATAAACTCCTGTCTCTTTTTCACACTGACCTCTTCCTGCAGGCTCCTTCATCCCCATTTTTGATGTAGACCAAATTAAAACACGAGCAACTGCATCTGAGACACTCTAAAAACATTCATCTGAATGACTGAACTACAACTAACTATTCTAGCAAATAAACTTTAAAAAGGACTCAAGCTTTTGACTTGTATTTCTTTCACAGGAAGAACCTCATTTTAAAAGTAATGAAATTCCAGTCTGGAAAAGCTGGCATTAAATAAATGGATACCACTTAGAGGTTTTAGAATTTACTAAAACTGGTGAAATTTCAACAAAGACATGGAATGTTCCTTCTGGAACACAGCATGAAACCATTCACAGATGCTCTAGAGGGTAAATTCCTTTCAGCTAAGTTTTGCTAGGGAAATGAAAACTACTGGTAGCACAAGTGGTCCCAGAAAACTACCCAGCTTTCCAAGTCTACTCAAAAAAGACAAGAACAGTTTTATCCATTTTGTATTTATGTAGAAATAAAAAGATATTTACTACTGAAGGACAGGAAATTTAAAAGGAGAAAATGAATTCTAATAAAAATATGCACACAATAGACTACCAATAACATTTGAGAAAATGAATTCTAATAAAAATATGCACACAGAATAGACTACCAATAACGTTTGTCCTACCACTGAAAGCAGCTGTGAATTGAAGTGTATTGTAAATTTTGGAATACATTTGTATCCTCTTCAACACTTCAGAATTCAACAGAGAAAATATGTTTATCCCATGCAGAATTCTGAACACAACTGTAAATAACTAGCGTGAGTTGTTTGCATCTAGAACATCAAACCATTGAGAAACATCATTCATGTCCCCATTTTTCTCACCTGAAACTCTTCAGATCAGAGTCAAAACTATCAGAACCCATTTGGGAAACATGACAATTACTTCACATTAAAAAATGAGACTTCAACAACTAGCAATATTAAACACATACTAGGTTTGACCTTGTGTGACAATTTTAACAGCTAATTACTACTACTAGTGTATTTTTCTTAAGTTACATTTTATCCTTCAAAATACAATCATTTACTAAGACAATAATTGATATTAATGGAAGACACACAGCCCTTTCTATACTGTGACAACTGCTGAAGGCTTTTTTTTTCTTCCTCCTTCTTGTAACCATACCTGTCTGTTACAATTGTGAGTACATCTGTATCCTTACAGTACCGCTCTCCTACAAGTTTAATGAGCTTCTTCTTTGCATGGTCATCCAAGTTCAGGTTGGAAAGTTTAACCTTCAAGTACAAGAGAAAACACCTTTAATTACGTGAATAAAGGCAATCTCTGCACCCTGGAAATATTCTGAGATAGGCATTTTTTTAAATCAATAATTAAAAGTACTGCTATTAAGAATAAATTTACAGAATTTCTTATGCTTGTGTCACATCAGAAGACTTAAGGCAAATACTCTGAATATTTAAAGAGTAAATTTATTTTCATGCGAATACCAGAGTAGCTGGGGGATAGTGTTTCTGCTTGAACTCTTTTTCAGAGGAAAAAAAGAGCTGTCAGTGTAGTTTGCAAGTGTAATTCATATTCATGTGCATTTCATATGGGAAAATACGTATTTTTTTTTAGACTTTTCTTTTTAAATACAGATCTGTAAGGTTAATACTAAAATATATCAAATATATTTATGACAAGCATCACAAGAAGAGGAAGAACATCATTTCAAGAAACATCATATCCGAATTCTCAAATTCATTACTGGGAGATCATATCCAAAGACGCACACAGAAGATAACAGTATAATGGACATAACTGATCAAACAATAATGTGAATGGTTTGTCTTCTGTTTCAATATCAGAAAACCCCCAAACATAAGATATACAAGAAATAACTACTTTGTTGGGTTTTTTTTAATGCTAAGAAGCTAGTCTGAAGCTAGTTTATATACACAATAGCAAGAAGTAAAGCAAGATGGTTTTACCTGTCTGTTTACACAATAGCAAATAAGAAGGCTATGAACTTAACATTCTAAAGATATATGGAGTTGGAAACACAAGTTGCTATTACTTGAGAGTTGTTAAGCAATATTAAAAATATGAAAACATAACAGTAGTCTCTTATTAATTAGTCCACTGTTTTTTATCTATATTCTTCTACTGTGTCATTGCTACACTAAAGACCTGTTCAAAAATCAGGAAACCCGCATCAGAAAAACTACAAAAATATATTCAGTAAACCATTTCCCTCATTTCCTTAGAACGTATCATACTTGCATGTGTTTTTAAAAGAAAGCCAACCACTTGGGTTTTTGAAACAAAGGCTGCTTACCATGAACACTACTTACTCTTAAAGTCACCACTCTTGCTTGGGGATTGCGAATACATGTCCCTGAAGAAACATAATCTACTGTTTCAATTTCAATAGGAAAATGTCGTTCACATTTCTCATCACTGTCCAAAGCACTTGGCCATTCTGTGCAAAAATCTATGCAATGAAGGGAAAACACTGCAGTAGTATCTGTTTGTTTGGGATGGGTTGTTGTTTTCTTTTAATTTATTGCAATATCTTTTAAAAAGTATTATATACAGAAACCATACTCCTTCAGATAACAGCACGGTCTCTGCCAGAGCTGCTCCAGTATTTAAATGTCTTTCTTTGTACTGGATTCTCCAAAACAGGATATACTACTCTAGATGCAGTCTCACCACTGCCAAATAGAATCTTAGAATGGTTCGGGTAAGAAAGAACTTTCAAAGATAACCTAGTCCACTCCCCTGCAGTGGGCAGGGACATCTTTCACGCTGCTTAAACCCCCATCTGACATGACCTTGAATACTCCCAATGATGGGTCATCCGCAACTTCTCTGGGCAACCTGTTCCAGTGTCTCACCTCCCTCATAATAAAAAATGTCTTTATGTTCCATTTAAATATCTACCCTCTTCCCTGTTAAAACCATTGCCCTTTTTCCTGTCAATAAAGGCTTTGGGAAAAAGTCTATCCCTGTCTTTCTTACGAGCCCCCTTTATATATTAGAAGATGAAAATAAGGTCCTCCTACAGACTTCTCCAGAGTGAACAACCCTGACTGTCTCAGTCCTTACTCACAGAAGAGGTGTTCCAGCCCTTTGGTGATTCATGTGGCCCTCCCCTAAACAGATGCACATCCCCAGAACTGGATGCAATACTCAGTAGATGTGAAAGAATACATTTCCTGAATGTGCTGGCTACGTTCTTGTAAATACAACCCAGTATGCAGTTAACTTTCCCTGCCACAAGGGCACACTGCTGACTCACATTAAACTTTCAAATGCCCACCAGGCGACACATGGCCTTTTCTGCAAAGCTTTTTTCAAGCTGTTTGTCCACCCACACCACCACCTGCCTGTACTGCTACACACATCATTCCACCCCAGATGCAAGACTTTTTAGTTGCCTTTGTTTAACTTCACAAGGGTCCTTGCAACCTATATTTTTCTGCCTGCTGCCATCCCTCTGAATGACAGCCCCACTCTCCAGCATATTACTTGTTCCACCCAATTTGTAACTATCTGAAGATCTGCTAATGTGCTCTCTACCAGTATCCAGGTTGTTATAAAGCACATTTTCATGTGCTTGAAAAAGGTTCCAGGAAAAATTGTGGCAAGGAAATGTGGTGAGGCTGACTGAACTGCATCATATTCTTTGCATTCGTGAAGATGGTCAGGCAAAAATCTCCAGTTCCTCCTGGGTAGTCTCTTAACTGCTTCTACTTTCCGTGTACTTCCTTTTTGCATTTCAGGTTACTCAAGAGTTCCCTGTACACCCATGCTGTCCTTCTACCATACTTGCTCTTTCTGCATACTGGAATGGATCATTCTTGCCCTTTTAAGGAGGCTGAATTTAAACATCCACCAGCTCTAGTGGGCCACTTTGTTCCCCAGTAAACTCCCCCATGAGATCTGCCAAGTAGGTTCCTGAATAAACCAAAATCACTCTCCTGAAGCCCAGACTGTAGTTCCACTGTCTGTTTTGCTCACTTTTCAGGATTTTAAACACCAGTTTCATGACCACTGTGACCACATATGCCCCTAACCTTCACATACCTCACCAGTTCTTCCTTGTCCCTGAACAAATCCAACAGAGCATGTCTCCTAATTAATTCAGTTCTCAAATCTTAATCAACCTCTTACGCATCTCATTGCAAAGCTGTGTATCTGAGCTATTCCTTTTCCTTCAAGGTCAGCTCCTCCTCCACATCATCTCTACCTGAACATACAAGCTTTTTCTCTGCATCTATGTGACTCCTCAGACTTGTAATTCATCTCATTTCCTATGCTACACACAGTTGGATACAGGCACCTCAAGAGAGGCTTCTTATGTCTGATCACATAGGTTGAGGGGAGACCTTACCACTCTCTCCAAGTACCTGAGAGGTGATTGTAACAAAGTAAGTCTCTGTTCCCAGATAGAACATGAGGAAATGGCCTCAAGTTGCAGTAGGGGAGGTTTAGATCAGATACTAGGAAAAATATCTTCACCAAAAGGGTTGTCAAGCATTGGAACGGGCTGCCCCGGGAAGTGGCTGAGTCGCCATCCCTGAAGACATGGTGCTTAGGAATGTGGTCTAGTGGTGGACCTGGTAGTGGTTAACAGTTGGACTAAATTTTCTTAAGGGTCTTTTCCAACCTAAATGATTCAATGGTTTTCTTTCCTCATGCCTCCTTTTCTTTAGGCAAATCTCATTAGCTTCCCTTTATTGGCTTGCTGGCTTGAAAAGATGCTCTTGATCTCCAGTAGATGCTGTATCTCTCCAGGAGACCTTGCTCTCACAGAGGGTTTAATTTACTAATAGCTTTTTTTTTAATTGCATGCTGGAATGGCTACTGATCTTACTCTGGTTTAATCAGAGATAATCTGAGAACTGAGTCACATTCATTACTCATCTTCCTTAGACTCTAAATTCTCCAGTACAAGCAGGACCTAATGGAAAGGTAGAATTAAAGTCCAACTAGTGTGCTGAAAACCTCCTAAGATATATCTACCCACCCCTTGTACAACTCAACAGAGCAACAAGAAAGCCTACAACACCAGCCAAAATCTGACAAATAACCAGCTTCAGAGGTAGGCCATCTCTCAGTTTCTACTTCATCACACACAGTTGCTTTCTGCATTGCCTTAAAACTTCAACAGAGTTGTTTTTAATAAAACAGGAAAAAAACCCCAAGAAACTAAAACAAAAGACCTCACCTTTAAGAGCTGCACAGTGTTTCTTAATTGCAGGAGGAGTAAGATGCAGAAAATTGGGAATCTGAAACAGAGGTAGTAAGAGTTGGCAAAATAATAGCTTTCTGTCTGTTAATAAAAAAAGGGGCATCACTGAAATCTGATTAGACTTTTAACATTTATTAAGGTAGTACAACACGCTTCATAAAATACTCAGATAGGACCCTTCTCAAGTCTGACTCAGCAAGACTTAAGTCCCATTACAAAAGTCACAAGCATGATAAAACTTAAAAAAGCCTCCTGGTTTGGTTCATTTCTTACCATTTAATTTAGAAATTAAATGGAATATTATCCTATTCAATAACAGAAAATAGTCTCCAATACAAATATTTCAACCAAAGCAGTGCAGTCTTAGTGAATAATAGTTTTCAAAGTTACCACATACCAACAGAAATGTGTCTTACCTTTATAAGTTCTAAGTTGCCTTCTTTTGGTGGAGGTACTCCTCTCTTCACTGGGTAACCCATTCGGACTGGGAGAGGCACTGAGGCAGGTTTAAAGGCAGCTGCTGTTGGATAAACACTGCTCCAGTCTTGATCAACAGCCATCCTCTCAGTTCTGGGAGGTACATGCTAAAATTTTGAAAAATCATAGTTTTGTGAGACAAAGCAGGAGTAACACAGACAACAAGGAAATTCAGGAATAAATTCCCATATCTAGAAATTTAAAGCACACTTTACATCAAAAGTTAATGCTCATTTGTAAAGGAATTTTTAAAAGATAGCCTCTCAAAGCTTGGGAAGCAGGCTTTTCCCAATCTGGATCTGCACTTTATTTCAGAAATGCTTAGAAATTAGAACTTACCATCTTCTTGTGTTGTGATAGCAAGGGGAGGAAGGGGAATCAAACAAGTATTTAATTACAAACTCTACTTCCTAAAGTACCTAAGCATTTTGTGGGAGGCAAGAAAAGGAGCTTTAAAATTCTGGAATTCTGAAAGGTTGAACAAGTTCATATTAAAAGAAATATATCTTAATAACTCTGAAATTACTTGCCATATAAATTCCAGGAATTATGTATTACTATATTGCAGAAATAGCTTATATTGTCCAACAAGTGACCAAGGTTTCAGCCAAACGCTCTTAAACAAAAAAATTTAAAAAAACCCAACAAGTAACTGTTTCTTTCCCCAATACCTTAATTTTTAATTTGGAAGGGTAAGAGACAAATGGATACATGCATTCAGCTGGTCTGAGTGCTTTGATGTATCACTAAAACTGCTCACTAAATTCCCAGTGATTAAACACTCAGATATCACTTTTCATTCTACTGCACAAGAACACTTATGCACAATACTGGATTTCTAAAGTACAGCAGAAAACAACCACTACAAACCCTCTAAACCCCTACTGAAAACATTAAAGGTCAGGTTTTATTTTAAATGCAACTTCAATTTGCTCTTAAGGGCTGCAGTACATGGAGGCAATCCAAGCTTATTTTCAGCATGTTACTGTTCATGCTTTTGCCTTTATGAGAATACAGATGTAAAACAGCTGGGAGATGAAAGAATGATGCTGATTCTGGATTTTAGTCACAGTGGACTGTTTCATCAGGTTTTGACTGCAGAAGGGGCTCCTGTACAAAAGGCTAAGAAAAAGTTTAGAAAACTTTTTCAAACACTTCTGATTTACCTACAAAAAGTTTCAATACTTACTGGTCTCACAAACTGTGGTGTCTTGCCTCTTCTGCTTGCTGAAGCTAAAAGGAAAAGAAACATTTTTCAACATGAACTACTTGTCTGGAGAAAAAAACCTGCAGCATAATTCTCTATGCTTTTTTTTTTTCTTTTACAGAGATGATATATACTAATATTTTCCAGTCTTTCTGTGGAAGAACAGGAAGACCAGATACTCCTACTGCAGTTGCTCTTTTTTGGTTTTTGAAACTTGAGATTAAAAAATAATAATAAAAAGCTTGGAACCTGTTTCTTCTGGGTCTATCCTAGAAAGACATTAACAATAATTTAGTGGTATTATGCCCAGATGCATTCTGCTAGCACCATATATTCCAGCTTGATGCAGGAGGAAAGAAAAATTAGATGAGAGAAAGTACGTTTATGCCTTCCTAACCATTTTTCTCCTTCCCACACAACTGTTAAGTCACAAACCAAGCTCCACCAACAGTATAAGGCAGCTAAACCTAACAGTTCACTACTAGGAGAACCCCATGGCTCCTTCCCTTCTTTCTGACAGTATCTCTTCACTGGCTCTTCTGGGCCACTCTTAAGCTCATCTAACCTCCTGTATAAACAGCAGATCAAACCCATTTTTTTCTTCATCTGTGGATGGGGAACAAACTAATGGATTTGTTTTCTGCCATTTTACCAAGCTGATTTGGCTTACTGAGCAGTCCCAGAGAAGATACAAAAGTGAGGTATTACTCTCTTTAAGCAGGCCTGAGCCCCCAGTTGCCTCAACTTTTTTGCCAACTGACTTCAGTTGGACCTGTGCTAAGGAACTTATAGGGATGCACAAAGATACCAAATGCCCCTAGATTTCCAATCTGAACAAAGACCTTCACTTTCTTGTTTTCATTTCCTCCTCAAACTCTAATTCAATCACTTTCAATCCGTGCCCTTAAAAAAATACCATCAAAACAATGTAGGTTTTACAATAGTCAGACAAATAAAGGCAAATCTGACCACATGCATTTTCAAGTGTCCTGTTTGAGCTTTGTTTTTTCAAATGTATTTTTAATTGTTGTCACATTGCAATACAATATATATTTAGCAAAAACACATTGAATGGGATTTAGGAGTCAATGTTTGGCTTCTATTTGCCTCATTCATTTGCCTTACAACCTTACTCCACATATGCCTTGCAAAAACTTGTGAATTTCACAGTTCTTTTGTTTTCCTTTCCTAGAGTGTTTTATGGAAGGAGCTCTGTTCTTCCTCTTCCTGCTCTATAACAATTTAAACTGAAGGATACCTGTGGGCCTCTACATCAACTAATACACAGCACACTTTTACCCCCTGCCCTGTCACTTTGTGGTGCTTCACAAGCAGCCACACTTCAGCCTGATCTTATTATTTCTGATACAAACACCTACAATTTCAGGCCCGGATGCCTTTTACTCCTGCAATGCCACAGGCCCCAACATCAAACACCACTTTAAAAGTCATCATCCTCACCTGCTCCTGAATCTGCAGATGACAAATGCACACCCAGCCTCCAGGAAAATGTTGGTAAAACCCTGACAAACCGTTTCCATTTGCACTCGGAACACCCTGAACAGCCCAGCATCAGGACAGGCATGGACCGCACCAAAACGTGTACCACGAGCACACACCCGCTAGCAAACACGGAAATCCTCATTTCCATAACCCGCATTCAGGCCACGCACTACCAACCCACCCCAGCACTGCAATCCCGAGCTGAAAACGGGCCTAACGAGCACCAGTTTGCTCACCCCTTCCTTCAGCCTATTCGCAGTATCAACGCTGCCAAGACCTGCAACCTTTACTAGAAAGAGGCTTTATTTTTTTAAAAAAAACAAAACAAAAGCTCTCCAGCAAACACTTGCACACAAAGCATCGCTTTCAGAGGTGCCTGCAGCCGGGAAGGGAGGAAGGGCACGGGCCTGAGCTCCCCCTCGGCTCCCAGACC